GGCCCTCACGCCCTCCATCTTTGCCCTCACCGCTTCGAAATCGGCCCTGCTCCTCTGGCCCTCTACCTCTGATTGTAAACGGCCAAGTTGTTCGACGGTGTCATGCTGGTGACGACCTATCTCGGCTATTCTCCCGACTGTCTGCAAAACAAGACATTAAAACCAACACAATATTTGCATAAAAGGGAAAAACAAGGTCAAAGGTATATACCAGAAGAGCCGATTGAGCGGCTAATGCTATTGCCAGCAGATTCGGCTCCGCCCGGAACGCCGCCTTGTCAGCCGACAATGAGACGGACGTAGCCATGCTCAACGTGACGGCTGGGTCTTTAATAGCCGATGGGTCAGAGTAGATCGGCGTGTTTTTTTATCTTTGGTTGAATGACAAAAGGCATGATCACATTCGACTCCTCTAAACGCGGCCGTTTGTCAGCACGGTTTTCTTCTGAGTCGGCCTCGACCTCAGCAGGACGCTTTTCTGCCCTTTGCTCAGCCTCTTGATCGGCCTGTACAACCGCCTCGGACTCGGCACTTCGGGTTTGAGCCGTTTCCTCCTCAATAACATGCTGGGAGGGTTGAGCTTCGGCTGCAGGTGCCACTTTGGATCGAATGGACTCTGCTCTTCGCCGCGCGGCCATTCTTTCTGCTTTTTTCTTTTTGACGAGTTGTGTGAGGTTTAACCCAGCCATCTCCTTGGGGTATACGTCGGGAAGGTCTTCTAAACCTGTAAAAATGTCGTCAAACGGAAGGTCCATTCGACCCGAAGTGGATGGAGGGTTGTCTGAATTAAGACCGGCTTCCTCAAAGGCCAACTTTAACGCCTCGTCTACTTCGGCTTTGGCTTCGTCTACCTCAGCTACTTCCGCCCGCTCCGAATCGGACCCCTCGAAACCAACTTGCCGTAAGTTTTTGAAGTCGGTCAAAATAAGAGCTGTAAGAGACTCCTCACCCTTCGGAATTGGGATTTTTTCTGCCGCCGAAAATGTCGTGTATGTCGGCTCGTACTGAAGGAGAATATGGGCTGCCCTTCCTTACTTGTGAAGACTCGGACGGTCGAAATACTTTAGCGCAACTTTAATTTTCGAAAGAACGGCGTCGTCGGCTAAGTCAAGACTTTCTTCAAATCGTTTCCTGCACAAGCAAAACCATGGGATCACAAAAATGAAACTTTATAAATATAAGAAAAATAAACGCAAAAAGATATACGGCCACTTGGTTCGCCCCTCCGTCTAGGAATAAGATCAAGGCGATCCTCGCCTTCGCCGAATTCTCAATTACCTCGGACGACGACCATAACATCATCGACTTGCTTGCCAGAGCTGGAAAGCATAGTCACTAGTTGATGGTCGGTGTCCTTAGCCCTAAGGAAATAGCGTCCATGCCGACCAGAAGACTTGGCCAAGGCATAACAATGCCGAATAGCAGGTATGCCAAGGTTAATCCTAAGGCGACGATTTAGCTCTATAATCCCCATTACGATTCTAAAAAAGTTGACATTGGGTTAGGAGGCGATTAGACCCCAATGGCGAAGGATAGCCCAAAGAAATGGATGAAGCGGGAAACGGATTCCGCCCTCTGCAATTGATAAGAGAGGGAAGACAATTGTGCTTTCATCATCCCTCTCCATATCGAGGGTGCCGTCTGTCACAAGCGACAGACGGACGTCATCAGGGATAGAAAAATGGCGTCGAAAGCCAGAGATTTGATCCGCGAAGAGGAGGTCTTTCAGACGTTTTTCCATTTCGGTCAGCCTATTGGAGCGTACTAAATTAAAGGCAAACTAGGAAAAAGGATTCAAAGTAGAAAGGAAGAGAACTTACAAGAGACGGAGAGAGCAATGAAGGATGAATGGAAGTTGCAGAGGTGAGTCAGAAGGCAGTCCAAAAACTCTTAAGCATAAAAAAATGTGTGTTCGAAAAGACAACAAGATTTTAAATCATAATAAATGGAAGCATACGAAGGGGCGAGAAGTTGAAATGATAACCGAAAGGCGTGTGCTTTGACATCCGCGTTGGAATGAGGTTAGTTGCCGAATTTCGGCTCTGACTTTTTGAGTTCGAAACCAAACACTCCAGCTAACTGTCGTTAGTGGATTGCTTGGAGGGCAATTGTGGGGGCCGAGTATTGGGAGTCATAAAGAGGCCGAATAAGTGGACCCGGAGAGTCAAAATATATATACATCGCATTCGGCCTTGTCTTGCACATTTATATCCTGACCTATTCGGCTAAATAGCCGGTTGAGTAAGGGGCCGAGTGAGAAGCGGTTTGCAATAAAAAGAGCCGAGTAAATAATTATACGGCGAATAGAAAGTGGGACCAGCCCCGAGGCCCAAGAAAGAAAAGATACAAATAGAAGAACAGCGTCAGCCAGAAAGAGGTATGTGAGAATCATTACGCTTAACTTAAAATACAAGTAACCTAGAGAGTAGAGACTGACTTGTCCGTCGGAGTGCTAATTCCGGCACCCCTGACCGGAGTGTTTATTCGTTTTCAGGTCTTTAGCTGAGGAACTCAAGTGCTCCAATGGATCAAAAGAGTATTTTCAAACCACCTTCACCACAAAAATTGTAATTTCAAAAGAAAACCAAATGTACTACACAGGGTGTAAAGTGGTGACTTTTAAATGAGAACAGGAGGATAGAGAAGACCTTTTCAAACATCTGATTAGGTGTCAAGGGCGCATGTCTCACACCCCATCAATTGAGATGGAAAATTCAAGTGTACAATACATGGTGTAAAGTGGTGATTTTTAAATGGAAAAATGCTAAGGATGTTAAATATTTTATATGGGTGTGAAATTTATATGGTGTGATTTTTACATTTATGTGAGATATTTGATAAAATATTTGAGATGTATAGCATTACTCTTTTAAATGAGAATGGTAGAGCACACATAAAATCATGAAGGTAGAGTAACATTCAGTGTGTTTGATTTTAATTTTTTAGATTTAATTTTTTAGAAATTGAATTTTTTATTTTTTTTTATTTTTAATGGATACTTTTAAAATTTTAAGCAATTTTTTTTTTTTAATTTTTTTTATATGCACCTTATTTAGCTATATTTAAAAAGTAAAATATTTGTAAGAAAATATTTTAAAAAAAATCAATAAATACACAAGAATACGAAAAATGTATTGAATTTTTATATTTTTGATATTTAGTGAATTTTCTATTTTTTTCACAAATATTATACTTTTTAATTATATTTATGTTAGGAGTATCTAAAAATTAAAAAAATTCAAGGAAAACAAAAAAAAATATAAAAAAAGAAAAAAATTTAATTTTTTGAAAAGTGAATCCTAAAATCCAAACCAAACAAGCTATGTTTTTAATTTTAAGCCATTGAAAAATTCTAAAATGGAAATTAAAATAGGCAAGAGAACCCTACTTTTAATGAATACAAGATAAGGTAAATTTTATTAATTTCCGATGATTTGTTTTATGTGTGGATTATTTTTTTATCATTTAGAAATAACTACGTAAAGACAATTCATGAATTTACTTTTTTTCTCAAACAAATGTAATTCAATCAAATGATTATTAATGTATGATCAACTTGATTTTTGATATAAATAATATGATTGACATGTGTCATAAGATAAACAGTTCAAGTAGTCAAGGCGGATAAGAGTGAAATGAACTTTGAACCGAAGAGAAGTTGTTCCCTCTTAAAATAATTGGCTCTTTTTTTAAAAAAAATAAAAATAAAAATAGAGTGGATTATAATAGGCCATATGATTTTTTTATTTTCTGTACTTTTTTTTAAAAAAATATTATTTAATTTTGTATAGATTTTATTTATTTATTTATTTATTTATCACAAGATAGCAGTTAGTGTATTAATAAAAGTAGATTACAACTATACAAGTCGTGGTTATTCCACTTGGGCCAATCCTAATGTCTAAATAATTTTATTGTATTTTATTTATTTATTTTGAAATTCTAATACACAATCCTTTGAAAAAGACGTACCATATGCACCCCTAATTATGTTATTTTTTAGTTTTTTTTTATATATTTAATTGTGATATTATTTTAATTATAATCCATAAATTTTTTAGTTATATGTTATGTTGTGTTTAATTTGTATTATGATATTTTTAATTATCACTCAAAAAATTGAAATTATCTTAATTATAAAGTGCATATATACACACACCTAAAGTATAAAGTTGGGGTGCACACGGTTCGATTGCGGCCGGAAAGCCTCCAATTCGCCATTCGTCCATCGGATTGGCAGATTGAAAAAAATCAATCCGCATCCGTCCACCGAATTGGCGGATGTGGATGGAGCGAATTGAAGGATTGACAGATGGATGCGAATCGATTTAGCGGTTTAAATTTTACAAATTTTAAACATAATGCAACTTGTCATAACAATCTAACTCAACATAATTAAAAGATTATCAAGTAAATTGTTATATACCAATAATAAATACATATGAGAAAACCATGTATTATCAAAATTATTTCATTACGTTTTTTTATTCAAAAACTATTTAATTTAACTTTTTTTAAAAATAACAAATTAAGCTTTACATTTTGCACGCAAAAATACCAAATATCAACATTTATCATTTGATAAAAGAATTTCCAAATTAAAAACACGATAAAATGTCTAAACTATTTTTCAATTGAAAACACAAACAGAATATCTAAATAAATTGAAAACACAAAATTTTACAAATTACTATAGATGCTTGCGATTTGACGGTTCAGTTCCGCTTAAAGAAATCTCAAATCTGTCATTCGTCTAAAATTAGATAAATTTAAAAAAATTAATCTTCAACCGTCTACTCGTCACCACACATCTATCTAAAATTTGACCAATCAATACAGGTCAATCTATTTAGGCGGATAAAAATATCCGCCAATCACCCACGGTATAAAGTGCATAAAGTGCCAAGTTAATAGCACGTGCACGTAACCTTCTATATTATTTTATACTATAAAAACACGTAGCCATTCTCGTGTTCTAGCATAGCAAAACCCCTAAACCCCCTCTCCGTCTCTCTCAAAAGCTTTTTTTTGGGTTGATATATCAGATTCTGTTCGATCTTGAAAAAAGAGGACACAAACAATGCCTCGAGCGTCGAAGAGAAAATCAAAACCCCTCAAATCATCTAAACTCGATGGTGTTCGTTCTGGTAATCAGTTTATATCCGATATATCTATAATGCTACAGGCATTAATTACTAGTTTTGCAAAGTACAAATCATATTTTTATCATGAAACCCCTAATTTTTCTTTCTCTTTTTAATACAAATTTGCTTTGGTTGTTGTTTATATGATGTGGGTTTTAGCTTATGCATACATGGCTCTGTTTTTGGCTCTTCAATGTAGGTGAAGTTCTGATTTTGGGGATAGACGTATGGTAAAAAACAATAATATTAGTCAAAGTTTTCAAATTTGGGTCACAGATAATATGATATTAGTTTATGTTTATGATTTAATGGTTTTTCATTTGACTTGCTAATAATTTAGTTTAATTAGATCAATGATACTGTGGAATTTTTTTTCTTGAAATCTTGTAAAAAGTGTCATGGGCATTCCAAGGTCCGTAATTATTAGTTTGTGATGATATTGAGTGGGATTTGTTCTTACCGTGGCGATTGGCTAGCCCCAGTGGGTGTGGGATTTGTTTCTCAAAATGGGTCTTTTGTTGCATTTAATTTCAATATTTAGTCCACCAAAAGGAACCGTGTGAGTTGTAGGAATTTTTCTTATATTCGATTTCGTTTTTGTTAGTAAGCATGCTTTATTGCTGGATTGTGCTAGTATTGCCTCTTGAGGCTCTTAATTGAAAGAAACAAGGGTACAAAGAAGCTTCCCAAAGAATCTATTGGACGAAAATATGAGCTCATAACCTCCTTTTATGATGATGAATCATAATTACGCAGTATCTTTGAAATAACAAAATTTTTACTTTGTTGTTTGATGGCTATGAAGCACGGATACTTCAAAAAGGGTGATGTATCCGTATCGGATACTTATCGGATACCGATACTCCTCGGATACTCGTGGATACGTATCGGATACTTCTTAAAAATATCAGATACTTCTTAATTAATTTTTTATTAATTTTGAAGTATCGGATACTTAATTTTAAAGTATCGGATACTCGAAGTTACATATTACTTATAATATTTTGTTTAGTTCTTTGATAAGAGGAATATAGTGAGAGTTAAAGTAATAGAATTTGTCAAATTGATGTATCCTTGTTGTCCCTCTCACTTCTCTCTCGCTTTCTCACTCTCTCACGTTTCTTCTCTCTGCTCTCATTCTTTTTTTGATGTTGGCATGTAAGGATGATGTTTAATTTGCATTTGCTTTTGCTTTTAGTTTTGGATGTTTTATGAATGTTTGAGCACTTTTAGGTTAATAGGAATCCCTCTCTTTATTTATTAATTTACTTTAAGTTTTATTTTCATGCCTATTACATTATTAAAATTATAATTTTTTTTTTTTACGAATGTATCCCTGCTGTACCCGTATCATACTTTTTCAAGTTTTGACATATCGCCATATCCACATCTCCATATCACCATATCTGTATCCGTGCTTCCTAGGCTATCATTGATGACTTAAAAAAATATATTTGTTGAAATTTTTATTTAAGAATGGTTTTTTGGCTTTAGCTAAGGTCTTGTGATATTCACTGATGAAGGGGAACAAGTTGAAGCTATTGACGTTGAAGACTCTTAGTTTTATAGGAATCTTTCTTCTTTATCACGTTGTCTTTTGCTTTAGGTTTTATTTTTATGCATACTGCATTACTAAAAATTGTTAAAATAATATTTTTTACGAACGTATCCCCGCCGTACCCGTATCTTAATTTTTCAAATTTTGTCGTATCGCCGTATCCATATCGTATCGTATCCGTATCCCGTATCTGTATCCGTGCTTCCTAGTTTGATGGTGTATACACTGTATAGTGTGGTGAATGGTAGAACTTTAGACTTCCTTACTGATGTTGGGTGACCTCTGTAAATTTTGGTTCTGTTTATTTTTGTATCTTGACTTGATGCGAAGTGGAAGAATGATTGTTGTTGCAATTAAAGTGTTAACAGTCACCCTCTGCTTACTTTTGGAATCTGTTGTAGAACAGATAGGTTGAAGCCTCTTGTAAATGACATCTTTTTGGACTTGTTTGTGGAACTGGTAGACTGAAGGTTAAGACCATATGCATATGAAGAACTTGCCTTACTATTTAGTATAGGAATTAGATTACTGTAAATTTAGTAGTCTCCGTTGGGTACTTTTCTGTTAACTTCGGCAGGACGCTTTTGCAGTGACTGTCAACTAATTCTTTTAATTTCTTTCATTGGCGGAAAGACTGTTAATATTGGGTATGAAAATAAAAAATTGCACAAGTTCCATGTGTTGAAGAGACTGCCTTGATGACTAATGAAAACCCAGGACAACCATTATGATCTTTCTTTTGCAGTTTATTATATGTAATGATATACTCTTTTCTTTTTTTGATAAATAAAGATGGCACTTTTTTTTTCCCCTTCTCTGATGATAAAGATGGTCATGTTCTTTTTCATTATCTTAGTTCATGTTCATTGATATTTGCTTTTGTTTTGGAACCTTGAAATTGGATGTGATCAGCCCTCCATTATCGTAAAGAATTGCTATTATTTTTTATGATATTTAAAAAAGAACTAGAAGCTAACATTTGAAAGTAAAGAAAAATTTCTAACATCTTGAATGGGTGGAAGAATTTCCCCCACTAAATTCCATTTAATTGTAAGTAGACTCCTAAATAATAATTGTGTCTTGTGTCTTTTGTCAATTGCATGCAAATTATATATATAGCAAGAACAATAGGATGACTACCATTAGTGATTACCAACTTCATTATAATGCGACTTCTGATGTACTAGTTTTTAGTTGTTTTGATGTAAGGCATATTCCTCTACCCATGAACCTTGAATGTGCTGAGCTCTAAAGAATTTTTTTTTTTTGTATTAAGTGGTTAAAATTTTCTATATCCAATTGTAATTTATTAATGAAAAAAAAGGTTCTTAATGAACATATTCTAACTTTGCACTAATTTTAACTTTTATCACCTAATGTTCTTTTAATATGCTATTATGTTGTTCAGCTTCAAACAAAGCTACAATGAAGAAGGGGGAACCTATAGATGATCATTTCCATTCATATGCAAATAGGTCATTGGGCATGATTGAGTAAGTATATTTTGTATTAGTTCACAATTATGCAAACATCAATAACCATTGAATGTTCAAAATTGTTTAATGCTTAAATTTATCGATTCATAACTCATAGCTTTTCGTAATTCATAGTAGGAAAGTTTACTTTTAATTTGTTCATCTATAATGTGAAACCAATGCTTTATTTTTCAATTTCTGCTATGTTGGACACCCATGATGGTTGGTTTCATGTTTCATAATGGTGAGAATAGATTGATCACCACTCTTGTTTAGAAGCTTGCGTCTAGAAAGGTATTATTTGATATAGAGAAATTTTAATGCAGAATTTGTGCTAGATTTTGGTTGGACAATGTGAAACTGATTTCCATACTTCCTTGTAGGAAATATTGCTTATAAATAGTTCATATATGTCAAGTTTTAACTGGTGAATCACGTGTTACTTTTTGGTTGTTCTGGTATATTGCAATCTGAAAACCTGTAATCCAAATGAATGGTTTGTTTCCAATTGCTCCACACAACAACACATGTTATGTTTACACATGCAACATAGATACAACATGGACATACTGATTTTAAAAAATGCATGACATGATAACTGAGGGACACAAAAAGCATATGATATATATATTTATTATATGTTATATATATGAATATATCATTCAAAGATGATAAATAAATATAACATACACTAATTCTTCTAAATATATTTTGTTTTTCTTTTATCAGTGTATCGTAAGTTATTTTGTTCAAACTTGTAATTAGTTTCGAGTGGGTTTAAGCAAGGGACACGTGTATCCTCCAGTCCAAGTGTCTAAAGCTTGTCGAGGTCTAAAAGAAAATTTTAAAAGTAGGACAAAATTTGACAAGTTTGGACACATATCAGGAAGTGTCCAGTGAGTGTCTGCGACATAGACACAATATGAACATGCCACCTTCTTAGAAATGACTATGTTCCTTAGGTTTCAATTTTTATTATGAATAATGGAATTTGCAGTGGTGATGTTTTTGGCTATGCCATGCTTATATTTAGGGGTCTAATTTTCATACCATGCTATTCTTGATTCCTGTTATATTTTCTGAGAATAATTGATATGCCCGCTTTTCCTACCTTTTTTAATAATTCTTTTGCAAATAGTAGGATTTTATTATCTCAAAAGATTTCTGTTTTATCAACATACTATGAAGATTGAATGATCCTTTTCATTATTATGAATCTTCAGACAACACACGTTGTCAATCTAGCTGCCTAGGTCTTTGGTTTCACCCATCGTAACTGGCCATTTGTGTGCCCTTCTATCTGTGGCAGCACAATTACCTGCTATGTTACACGGACTCGGCACTTTGGGGCGAAGTACCCGTGTCGACATGACATGACACGGGTGTGGGTGTGGGATTTGGGTCAAATTTGTCTCTTCTCTCTCGGATACGGCTAATCAAAAAGGAAGAAAATTGAGATACTTACATTGATGTATGGGTTCAAGATCTTGATCTGTGTCTTTCGATCTTCTTCTCTGTTTCGATCTCCTTTTCTCTCTCTATCACGATCTCCTTCTCTATCTTGATATCTCTCTCGATCGTGCTGTGTGTGTGTGAGAGAAGAGAAGAGAAAAGAAGTGACAAACTCCATCTCGTGCTACTGTGCTACTGAGAGAGAAGTGAAGAGGAGAACGTTTGACTGGCGGCTGCTGGTCATTTGTATCAAACCCTAATGGGCCAGACCAAATGAATAAATAAAAAGGTTGGGCTTATTTAACTAGTTAATATTATAAACCCTAATGGGTTGGACCCAAAAAATTAAATAAAAAGCTTGGGCCTATTGACTGGTTTGTATCATAATAATTAATATTATAAACCATAACGGGCTAGACCCAAAAAAATAAATAAAAAGCTTGGGCCTATTGGTTGGTTTGTATCATAATAAACCCTGATGGGTTGGATCCTATGAAGCACAGGTGTGGGTACGGATATTGGTACGAGTACGATATGAGTACACTAATATGGCAAATTTTTAAAAAAGTAGGGTACGGATATGGCTGGGGTACGTCAATTTTTTTTTTTTTTTTTTAAAAAAAAATTTATAGCTAAACATCCAACATATAAATCAAAGTTTTAATATCAAAACTAAAAAGAGAACTTGTCTAAAAAGTTATATAATTATTTATTTTTCTTTTTTAATTGTCTAAAACAGGATACAAAAGAGAGTAAAACTATGACTCATGGGTAAAGGATGTTTGAAATAAATTACTTGATATTTTCAAAATTTAAAAAAGAATAATAAATGCTGCAATAAATTCTAGCATTTGCACAAAAAAAAAAAATTCATTTTGCCATACCAGTGCTGTACCCACGACGTACCCATGTTGTACTCATGACGTACCCAAATGTATTTGCTGTTCTCGGCATGTATTCGGTACCTGCACTCGGTAAGTACCGGGTACTCGTACGGTATCATTTTTGAAGTACCCGTGCAGCCGTGCTTCATAGGTTGGATCCAAATAAATAAATAAAAATTTGAGCCTATTTATAAACTCTGTTCAACAATAGCATGGGTTGTTCTATGACTTATCCATATGTTTGATCCTATTTATAAAAAATTGTTGGGTCAACTGTTTTTAACTCATCTTCATATAATAAATATATTTTAAAAATAACTATTTAACTCATCTTTATATAATAAATATATTTTTAAAATAACTATTTAACGTATCCTCTTACCCGTATCCACATTTGGATCCATATCCACGTATCCTCAATTTTTAGTTTTGAAGTGTCTGACCCCCAAATACGCACCCGCATCCGATACCCACACCCGAGTCCGTGTAACGTAGATTACTTGTTTTATAGGTTATAGGTTAGCAGGTACTACCATCTTTCTATCTTGGTTTTTACCTATGTTGCTCTAGATGATGAGGGCTATTGATGGCAAAATTTTTCAATAAATGGTACCTAAAAAGCATGGACACAGACACATGACATGACACCGACACATTGACACGGAATTTTTTTTTAAAATGTAGGACACAACAAGTGGAGGACAGGTGCAAAATATAAAATTTTATATATTTATTATATATTATATGTGAATAAATAATTATTAAATGTCATATATATAAATATTTTAATCCAAGATAATTTAAATGAGGAGAATAGGTATAAACTTACATTATTTTTGTTTTATTATTTGATTCTAAGTTATTTTATTCAAACTTGTAATGTGTTACATGTCAATGTCAAACCTCTGTGTGCTAAAACAATTTCCTTGTCACTGAAGAGAAATAATTGCCGGAACTGATTTATGTTCATCAGTACCTCATTATGACAATCTGTGTCTTGCATTGCTATGAAGTTACTGCTTCTATAAGATCAATGCTATACAGACTTTTGACTTTGATTTTCAGAAGATCAAAACATAAAAAAGGTTCTTATATTTTTGTTTATTTATTTGTTTGTTTTTACCATTTAATATCTCCTTTGCAATGAGTGATTTATATATCATGAAATTGGTTAAACTTCAGGTGGATAGGTGTTCAAGAGATTGATGTAACACTACTAACCCAAGCCAATTTTGTATGTGTGCTTGTGCAGTCCGGAAGGAATAGAGGCACTTTGTTCAATTTGAGAGTGGATCATACCGACGTCAGGATATTGATGCTCGCTTGGTATGTCAGTTCTGTTGACATGTAACATGTATATGACCAAAACCAATTTTAGTTCCAATTTCTCCTAATGCTGCTTAATATAGCTGACAATCTGCATGCAACACGAAAATGAATGCCCAGAAGCAGGGATATTTTACACAGGCAAGTGCATTAATTATTACAACCATTGCCCTTACTATTATTATTGTTATTGTTGTTGTTAGTAGGAAAAATACTACGCAAACTAACAATTCTTACTAACTAATGTGTCATGCAATAATTTGGAATCTGAAATAGGACCCACTTCAATCAATAATATGGTAGGTGTCACATCAGTGAGTGAGAAAATTTATACGATTTGTTAGTTTGTATAGCATTACTCTTATTATTATCGTCATTTTAACATTTTAAAATATATATATATATATATATTTTAACACTACTATTCTGTTGGTATAAGATAAATTGTTTGGATGGTATCTAATTTTATCTGCTTTCTTGGATATTTATAATTTTTGTCCTTTGTCAAAAGTAGACTATTTGGAAAATTGGAGAATGTTACAATATAGGACCATGAAAAATACTAAAATACCTATTTGAACTGTATATGAAAATATGTACAAAGAAAATAGTACAGCCTTGCTGTAATAGATGAGTATATGTATGTTCAGTTTCATGCATATACGTCAGCACAACTAAAAGCTAGCAAAAAAGCCAAACAAACAAAAGCTAAATCCAAAAGCCCATAAAAAAAGTTTTCATATTGTAGAACAAGCCGTCTTCTTTTTGTTCATATGCATTATGGGTAGTCAAGGTAACAACTACTGTTATTCTCCTCTCTGCATCCATAATACTATGTTTGGATCTTGGAATTTTGGGGGTAATGGTGTTGGTGTATACGAGTTGGCAATTTCCATGGGCAAATTTTGAGCTTGGTTGTAATTGATTGATAGGTTAGATTGAGCATTCAAATGTGTTGCAGTTTGCAGATTGACATAAGCTATGCAGAGATGACTACATACTTGTAATAGATATATACTACATGAGCCATTAGTTTTAATTTCAGAAAATTGACCTATTGGACTCATTCCCAGTCCCGGTAGGTTTTGGAGTCAAAAATTTGCAAAAAATAAGACCAAGGGGTAAAAGCCGAGGGCCTTGCTTGAAGCGGCTTGTACTCGAGCTGTCTTCACAATGGTTTATGTTATATGGCTTCCAGCACGGGACCCCAATCCACGATGGTCAACTTGGCATGGATATTTCAAAATGTGGAACTTGATTTGCATTGAATTTAATTCTTGATGTCATACCTTTTTTCTCTGTTCTAGATATTTATTTGTTGATAACTGCCCACTTATGAAGTGTTCAATTGGTCGACTAGTTTTATGCTGTAATGTTTCTGCTCTGTGTAATTATCTTGTTTGTGTACCCATGGAAGGACTAGTCTTCATCATCACTTTTCTCAAGTATTCTATTATATTTCTGTGCTGGAGATGGATGAAAAATCCAGCTAGAAAATACTCTTAAAATTGATAGTTTAAATTTCCTTCTTTGTAACAGGATGAGTGGCAAAGAGGCCTGAAAGCTCTTACTGTTGACACTCTAAATAAATTGAAGAATGCATATTTTATTTCAGTATCAAGTTTAATATATTTATATTACAATAATAGAACAATTCACAACTTGTCCCTATGTTTTTTCCTTTGACACTAGTGAAAACTATTATATTCAAGTTTACTTGCTTATTTATTTATTGATATTTAATTTTACCATTGTTATATTCTTTTGTTAATTCTTAGTTTCTATGATCGAAGAACTTAACAAAGTATTAGAAAAATATTCTTATATTTATACTTGCAATTATATTATATTCTATTACTATGCAATAAATGTTACAATTCTTATTTCATAAAACAAGTAAACATGACTTGGAGTATCCAATACTTCAAAATTAAGTATCCGATACTCCAAAATTAATGAAAAATTAATTAAGAAGTATCCGGTACTTTTAATAAGTATCCGATACGTATCCGCGAGTATCCAAGGAGTATCTGTATCCGATACGGATACGATACGGATACGTCACCCTATTTGAAGTATCCGTGCTTCATAGATACTACATAAGCCATTAGTTTTAATTTCAGAAAATTGACCTATTTGACTCATTCCCAGTCCCGGTAGGTTTTGAAGTCAAAAATTTGCAAAAATAAGACCAAGGGGTAAAATCCGAGGGCCTTGCTTGAAGCGGCTTGTACTCGAGCTGTCTTCACAATGGTTTATGTTGTATGGCTTCCAGCACGGGACCCCAATCCATGATGGTCAACTTAGCATGGATATTTCAAAATGTGGAACTTGATCTGCATTGAATTTAATTCTTAATGTCATACCGTTTTTTCTCTGTTCTAGATATTTATTTGTTGATAACTGCCTACTTATGAAGTGTTCAATTGGTCGACTAGTTTTATGCTGTAATGTTTCTGCTCTGTGTAATTATCTTGTTTGTGTACCCATGGAAGGACTAGTCTTCATCATCACTTTTCTCAAGTATTCTATTATATTTCTGTTCTGGAGATGGATGAAAAATCCAGCTAGAAAATACTCTTAAAATTGATAGTTTAAATTTCCTTCTTTGTAACAGGATGAGTGGCAAAGAGGCCTGAAAGCTCTTACTGTTGACACTGTAAATAAATTGAAGAAGCACTCTCGGAAGGTATTTTATTCTTGTAGTTTTTATCTGGTTGATTATTGATGATTCCATGATGATGAAGACTTCTTAATAGTGCTATTATTGATCGTGTACTGTTTTCTGAAAAGGTTAGGACGCCTCAAAATTTTGCAGATTTCTATTCTTTTGCATTTCAATTCTGCCTAACAGGTGAGCTTTTAGACTTGTCAAGCATGTGTTTAAGTGAATGGAAGTGCACCGCATTGTTTCATGACATTATCTTGTTTCAGTTTTGAGTTTGATTTAAATTTTTATCATTTATTTATTTTTAATTTTGCTGGCCATTTTTTCCCTCTTTCAGAAGATAAGCAAAAATGGATAGATGTTGAATGCATTTGTGAATTGCTAGATATTGTTATGGGGTCCCAATTTCCGTCCCAGGTTGCCTTATTCACCAAGTATTTAAAGGTGGGCAGCACTTGTTTCTTTCTACCCTCATGATTCTTAGGTGTTTACAAAACAACTTTTGAATTTTATTTTTGGGTCTATGAGATTATTCATTTTGTATTTGTCTCACTATCCCTGTTCGATTAATTGAAAATGGCACATTCCCACCGTCTCTGTAGTTTTGTTGAATTAATAATATATTAAAGACTTTGTTGTATATGTAAATCGACAAGTTTGAATTACTTGTGATGTTATTATTGCAAATTTATGATATTATGCATATTAGAGTACATATGTGGAAATTTATTGTTGATGAGTTTTGTAAAACTAAAAATATGATGTAATGACATTGACAATAACTAACCGAATAACACTATACAATGGATTTCTTACCACTAGACATGAAGGTGGTGGGACCTCTATTAATAAATACATGTAGACCCCATTGCCTTGGTGTCTAGTAAGAAAATTGGTAAGCAATCCATTTATGAATAGCATTACTCTTAAGAGAAATGCATCTTGATCTTGGGGATCATGATCAACATCTTAATTATAATGGTATCCAATGATTTGATTTGTGATGTTTGGACTTGATTTTTCATCAGATCCATAATGATTACAAGGTGATTAACATGGATCAATGGACAAGCTTTCTACGGTTTTGCAGCCAGGTATCCTGATTTTTCAGTTTTACTACTTATTTTACTTTTCGCTTTTGTTTATTTCTGTTGTTCAGACTGTTGTACAATCATTTTGGTATCTATTTTGGTAGGTAGATCTATATCTTGAGCTCTTTTGCTGAAAAGCAACAATACATAACCAAATTTTGTCTATAATTTCATTCAAAATCAATTTCATTCTAGATATAGTCCCCCAATACTCTATTAGAATCTGAACCACTTTTATTTTGGGTAATATTCAATGTGTTTTGGTTTTAGTTTTTTGAATTCAGTTTTCCAAAATTGATTTTTTTGTTTTTCGTATTTTTTTGGTTTTAGTAAATATTTTTAAAATTTTAAACAATATTTTACTTTTTTCAGATGCACCTTACTTAGATGTAAAAATAGTAAAATATTTGTGAAAAAATATTTTAAAAAATTAGTAAATACACAAAAATATGAAAAATGTACAAAATTGTCTTATTTATTTTATTTTATTTTATTTTATTTGTATTTTTGGTAATTAGTGAATTTTTTAAAGATTTTTTTTTTACAAATATTATACTTTTGAAGTGTATTTATGTTAGGTGTGTCTAAAAATTAAAAACAATTGCTTAAAATATTAAAAAAAAATTCATTGAAAACAAAAAAATATGGAAAATAAAAAGGCAAAATTTTTTAAAAAGTGTTTTTTGAAAACCAAAACCAAACAAGTTAATTATGGACGAGGTTCTGGGTATGTTAGCTTTTCTTTCCCTTCGCTGAATGTACCTCTCATTAGTACCCTTTTGTGCCACATGATATGGCACTGGCATTAATATTTTGCGTGCCTGTTTGTTTCCCGCTTTTTTAGGGGTGTAATGTGCTCAAAACTGACCAAAATTTTGGATTTTGGTTTGTTTTTCATAACGTACGACCTGTTTTGGTTTTGAAATTTTTTCCATCGATAAAAACTGAACCGACTAAAATATTATATTTAAATATTTTTATATTTTAATTCTTTGAGCATTACAAGATAAGTGACTAATATAATACACTTTTTTGTGATAACAACTAGGGAGTATACATTTAGAGAGTTACATTCATTCTTTTTCTTTATTTGTTCTCAATGACCTCATGTAAATCCCTCTTCTATGCCAAACTCACAAAAATGAACCATACGATATAGTTTGTGTCGGTTCCTCAATTGTCAAAACTGAAAGGTTCAGTTAGGTGCTAAACTTGCCCTCAACTCTGACCTAACCGAACTGTTTATCTACACGTTTGCAACTTCTCTAGCTTGAAATTTTAAAACACATGCTTTAGTACTTGTACATAAAAATTTAGGGTTTTTTTTTTTTTTTTAAGCTAGCTTTTCTTGAAAGTGGAAACAAACAGGCTCCATCTTTGACTCCATTAGATATATTATTTCTGTTATTTTGAGCCAGTTTCAGTTGCATTTATGAAGAGTTCTTCTTCTTACTCTTTCCTGTTTATTGCAGATAAGCTTTCCAAACCTTAAAAATCATGATACAATCGAAGCTTGGCCATTAATCCTTGATGATTTCGTCAAGTGTATGAGAGAAGAAAAGCTAGCCACAACAGAATCTTAATATCCTTTCTATAGATTATAGTGCTAATCAGACGACGTAATCATGAAATCCCGATTTCCATTTTTTTTTTCTTTTCCTTCTTTTCCACATCATTTAGCGGTTAAAGTTGATTTACATGTGCTCGACTTGACAATCAAAAGATTTGTATGTTTTAAACAGGATTGACCAATTGTAACCGACTTTGTTGTGATTGATCTGTTTGCCCTTTGTAGGACTCTGCCAAAACCTTTTGAATGGACCTTTTTTTGAAGACTACTTGACTGGAGCTCTCTCTTGTATGCCAAACTACTTAAAAATTCTTTATATAGTTTTTTTTTTAACAATATCAACTCCTTGGACAATTAATTAGTACCCTCCCATTTTTGTTTTACTGTTGAAGGGACTTGATTTATTTTAAGGTACAGATGAATAAACATTAATGGAAAGAAGTAATTGAAATTCAAATTACTAGCTTCATTTCCTTGTAATGAAATTACACCAAAAAAAAAAAAGAAATTTTTTTTCCAGAGTTTGACTATTGCAACAAAATAAATTTTGAGTGTTAAATTTTATCATTTAAACTCTAAACTTTTGATTTATTTTTATAACCTAGACCATTTGCCTATTTCCATTGAGTAAAATCGAAGGGAAAATAAGTATGTCATTAAACTCAATGAAAAAGGGTATTTTAGACATTTTGTGTATACCCACATTGATTTTAATAGCTAAATTACTCTTTCTGTCTATTTTATTAAACAGACATAGGCAAATCATTTAGATTGAAAATAAATCAAAAGCTTAAGATTTAAATTGATAAAACTAAAAAATCGTAAGGTTTGTTTTGTTACAAAGCTCAAACACTGGGTTTTTTTTTGTTATTGTCCCTAATTTTTTTTTTTGGTCAGCTAAAAGAGAATAGGAGGAGGTGACCAACTTATGGCAACCTTTCTTGGGTGGGAAGAAGATCCTTCCTATTGGGGAACCGGACATAAAGGGTCTAGACAAGCCTAAACATAAGTCGCAAGTGCTTCTTATACGTGCAGATCCTCTAGAAGTGAGGGTTGTCTAGAGTTTGGTAGAGTGATACAAAACGATGTTTTGTTTAATATAAAAGAAAAGCAAATAAAATATTGTTACAAAGCTCAAACACTGGGTTTTTCTTGTTATTGTCCCTATTTTTTTTTTTGGGTCAGCTAAAAGAGAATAGGAGGAGGTGACCAACTTATGGCAACCTTTCTTGGGTGGGAAGAAGATCCTTCCTATTGGGGTACCGGACATAAAGGGTCTAGACAAGCCTAAACATAAGTCGCAAGTGCTTCTTATATGTGCAGATCCTCTAGAAGTGAGGTTTGTCTAGAGTTTGGTAGAGTGATACAAAACGATGTTTTGTTTAATATAAAAGAAAAGAAAATAAAATAAAAAAGAAGAGCTGAATAGAGAGAGAGAGAGAGAGAGAGATCGCAGGCGTTAGTTTTTCATCAATAACCTCTCTCGTTGGCAGTAGCTGCCTCTTTTCCCCACCCTATCGACCATTGCCAATCTCTACCCCACCCGCCTTTTTTTACCTATTGAATCCCGCCTCCCCCCTCCCCAAAAAAAGAAAACAAACACACACACAAAATGAAGTGAGAGATTGCTTGAAACCATTGTCGGGAAACCATCACCGAAAACCACCACTACACCACAACATCACCCTCATTTTTCTCCTTCTTTGCTACTTTCTTCTTTCATCCTCTTCTTCTTCTTCTTCTTCTTCTTCTTCTTTCCCTCTCTCTCTCTCTCTCACACGCGCGCGCACACACACACACAGACTCTTCTCTCTCTTTTTTTTTTTTTTTGGGATTCGATGGGTGGCTGGAGGAGGGTGGGGTAAAGATTGGCAGTGGTTAGCGGGGTGGGGGGAGAGGAGGCTGTTGTCGGCGAGAGAGGTTGGTGATGAAGAATCAGCATTGGCGATCTCTTTCTCTTTTCTTTTCGTTTTGCCCTCCTTTTTTACTTTTATTTTTTGGCCTTAAACAAAGCATTTTTTTTTTTTTGAGATAAACAAGACAATGTTGTTTTGTATAAACTAATGCTATTTTGTATCACTCTACCAAACTTTAGATAACTCTCACTCTAGAGGATCTGGGCATGCTTCATCTAGGTGAGTTAAATCGTAAATACCATCCAAAGGGGCATATAATGATAAGGAGCTAGTGGCTCTAGAGTCTCGTGCTCACAATGACCACTAATGAGACTCGAACCCATTAATTTATGTCCACCAAATAATTTAGAAGGGCATCTCTAGTAGGAGAGGCATTTGGAGTAGACATTTTGTCTAGTGTCATTATAAAATGGAGCTCTAACAGGGCAAGCAATATGATAAATATTTTGCCTCATCGTCTCTTATATATGGAGAGCCTTGGAGGGTATGCTGTCAATTTTAGAAGTATAGGAGATACTAAATGACTTTAATATTTAAAAAAAAAAAAAGTTATCGTATACAGAAATAACATATAAAAATGACTTGTATTCAACAAGATTATTATAAAATTGAAATTATTTTATGACTATCCAATGATATTTCCACTAATATGGTAGTTAAAATGGCATGACACAAATGGCAGTGCCCTTGTTAATTAATTGGAATTGTGAATGTTATAGCTAGGTTTGTAATCCTATTTCTATAAGGGATGATGGGTGAGCATTAATGGACTTTGATCAGCTTTTGTGCTTGTACTCATGAGCTATATATATATATATATATATAGCTCATTTGGGAAGGAGGGTTGGGTTGGGTTGGGTTTGGAGCTATTTTAACAATAAAAAGACAATAAAGTTTTTAATTCAATAAGACAAAACATCACATCAAATCCATAATCATTACATTATTTCTCTCACAAAAAGTCAAAAAAGTCAAAAAGTCCTTCTCAAATAAGGCTTTTTAGTCCTAGGCTAAAATAAACAAGAAGTCAAAAAGCTAATCCATTTCCCAAATGAAGCCTTAGTAGGCATTAAGTGTACCATCAGGGCCGGCCCTGGGGCATAGGGCACAAGGCCATGGCGTAGGGCCCCTCAAAATAGACTAAAAAAAGGAGCCTCCTCTTATTATAATTTAGTGTAATATATTAGGTATGTTTTAAGTCTAAAAAAATTAAAAAAGGTTCATACTAACTTAAAATAAATTGGCCCATTAAAAAATTGAAAGGCCATTCAAAAAAATTAGCATTGTTATCCATTGAAAATAGACACAAAAAAGAGGTCTCTCTTATTATAGTTTAGTCTAATATATTAAGTATATTTTAAGTCAAAAAAAAAAAATTAAGGCAGGCCCAAATTAACTTAAAATAAATTGATCCATTAAAAAATTGAAAGACCCATTTAAAATAATTAGCACTGTTATTTATTGACAATAATTTTGCAAAAAAATTAGATTATGTAAGTATGATTGATTTATTTGCTTCCTAAAATATAAGAAGAGTAAAGATCAAGAGATACTTATTAGTTATTGTAATGTAATGCTAAGTATTTTTTGTGATTTTGACACAAATCTTTTGTTTTTTACTTTCAATTTTTTTTTTTCATTCAATGAAAAAAAAAATATGAAGACCCCCAAAAATTTATTAGTTAATTGTTGGCTTTGAATCCCAGAAATCTCAGGACCGGACATGCGTACCATGATGGTTTTACTTTAGACTGTTGAATTCATTTGTTAATCATTTTACTTTATTATGGTCTCTGTTAGAACATGGGTGTCAAAAGTGCAGTGGAGCAGTAGTCATTTGAAAGGTTATAAATAGAGTTTCAAAAAACTTGTACAACTCACTTGCTTCTATGGCTGGCAAAGTGTGTACATTGCCAACTTGTATTATAATTAACTAATCAACACACAAATTTAAAAAAACAAACAACTAATGAGTTCATATAAATAGAGAAGGGGAAACCAATCCCCATGCCTAAAGCAGCTCCCAACCACTAGGCTACCCTTTTGTCTCAGTTGGCGCCATACCAATAGAGTCATGTTTGTTTAGACGGACTGGATTATGTTGGATTAACATTCCTATGACTAATAGTCCTAGGATTACGAATTCCTTTGGATTGTGTATCTTATCATATATTTGGATTGAGTTCGGATTATAAGGAGGGACTAATAATTCAGACTTTGGCTAAATCCTCTAATTTATACCCCACCCCCCTCTATGAAATTGAATAGTCTATTATATGTGGGATACCATATCCGGATAGATTGTTAGTTCGTATTTCAATTATTTAACCAAATATCGGATTAATAATTTTATTGGACTATTAATCTAATCTCAAGCTCATGTCCACCCAAACAAACATGACCTAGGTGTAACTTGTCTCACGACTCAGCATCTAGTCTAGTTAGTCATGGGAGAGATGAAAGTCCCTACCAAGAAATCATCACTTCCAATAAATCATGAACTGAATTGGTTTAACTAAAGCAGAAATACAACCAAAAACCGACTAATTTAAAATATCAATTAGATTTGTTGGACAAATATTAAACAATTAACATACAAATATGCAATGAAAATTTAAGGAAAAGAAAAAGAAAGAAGAAAGTAAGGACTGAAAAAAGGGGACAACTCATATGAGGTGGTCAAAAGCTCCCTCCTCCATGGGCTTGGCTTTGCAAGTTTGTTACCTCACCCGAGAGGCATCACAACCATGTTTGCCGCCCACCCCCATATGTATCCTTCATTTGCAATCAAAACTGCCTATTCATGTTGGAAAAGATACCTAGGTCTTCACCGGCCCCACCGATGGAAAAAAGCGTTTTCGCTGGTAGTTTCTTCGCATGGAGTGTAGACGTAAAATCCAAGAGTATCGAGGCTGTTGAATTTGAGATATCAAACTTAAAAGTGACATTGTTAGGTGAAAGAAAAGCATAGTAGATGTGAGTGAGCAACGTAGTATCGATGGATGACGGAGGCAAATCCGAGGCCCCTGAAGGCCAATAAGCCCCTTTGATTACCTGAGATGGTGAGGTTGAGGCCATGGCATAACAAGATGTAGTAGTCAAGATGATAAAAACACAAAGATAGTAGTAGCAGTTGTAGTCAGTGGCGGAGGGAGTGAAGGCCCAGGGGGGTCACGTGCCCCCCTGGATTTTGGAAATTAGTTACAATTTTTCATTTACCTCAAGCACCACATAGATGACATCACATGATACTCCAAAACTACCTAATAATTTTCCTCATGCATGATTTTTCAAGGGTCCTTGTGAAGCATGGCAGATTCAAATCATTTAGACAATCCATCTTGATGATGTGTCTGGACTTATTTATATATATACATAGTTGGTAGTGTATGAATATATTTAAAATTTATTCTATAGAGTAGTCCCGTAACCGTGTCTCAAAAAATTCCTTGTTTGCAAAACTAAAAAACTAGTATGAGCAACTTAAAACTTTGCTCATTCCAGCTCATTACAGCCCTATCAATTGGTCAAATTAAAACATTGACTCAATCCAACAATTGAAATTTTTTTACATGAATAAAAAATTATTCTTTCACCAATAAAAAAAATTACTACCTGACCGAGACATTTGATCAATATATATGACATGGTATTAATGAAGTGAAGGAAATTGACTTGAATTTGACTGTCAACAGTCTCTTAATTCACATCCACAGTGCTAGCAAAAATACTTGTATGCAATTTAGTTTAATTATATATAAACACTACTTTACCAATTAAAATTTAGAACCCTACTTCTTAAAAGGTTAATGAGTCCATATAAATAGTCATTAATTAAACTTAAGGAGACCTAAGCTATTAAAACACTAAATTTTAAAATAAAATAAAATAAAGTAAAGTAAAATTGGGTACTTCCCTTTCCACACTAATTAATCAGTTTCTACTACCAAATGTACCATTAGAATCCATAACTTAAACCTGAATTGAATTCACTTCTGGTTCTTCATTTGAAACTCATTGGCTTTATAGTACTCCTCCATCTGCCATGCATGAACTTCAGAAGGACCACTTGCCATCTTCAGGTACTACATATATGGTGACATTGTCTGCATGCTTGAACCGCCATAGTAAGCCATAGAGGGTGAAGGATGGTGATTTTTACGAACCTCGTTCTCCATCATCCTAGACATTGAAAAGGACGACTCAGTGCATGAGACTCCTGTTAAAACAGGCTCTAGAGAGGGCAATAACATTATTGGATCATTATATATAGACGTCTTTAGTGGATCAATGCACTGCAAGTTGCTGCTAGACATACCGCCAAGTTGAGTGTAATGAGTGTCATTAATGTTGTTCATTGGCATCATCATTGGACTAATTGCCATGGATTTTGCATCAAGCTCAACAATTCCCTGGTGATCAGTCTGATCAAAAGGGTAATGACGAGAGATGTCATTAATTTCATGCAACAAATTCAACGAAGAAATAGGCATCTCCTCGTGGATAATCCCCATTTGCAAACTTGTAGTACCAAACAAACCTTGCATGAAATGATTCGAATGGTTTTGTTGAGTGGTTTGTTCCATATCGTTAAGACTTGCCAATGCTTGAGTTCCCTTCATGAATTCAACCCTGGCCTTCACATCTGCAAGCTTACCCTCCAACATACCTTCAAAGGCTCTCAGCTGCCCCTCTGACAAGTCATTGTAACAATCATCCCATGTAGAGTACAAAGCCTTGTCATTCTTCTTACGTAGTTTGACAAGCGCGTCTTCAATCTCTTGGTTTCGGTTCTCAAAAAAGTTGGATAAATCAAGCGTCCTCCTATGACGATCTTCAATAGATTGGTTTCTATAGGTGTCAATCAAGCGTTGAATATCATTGGGATTTTGGGGCCAGATTTCTACCTCTGTGGAATTATCATCTAACTTAGGTCCATAGATGATCAGGCAGACTTGGACATCACATAGAGTTTGTAGTTCACAAGTCTTCTTCTTTAAGCCCTTCTTTCTCTTTTGATAGGTTACATAGCGAGCCTTTTCGTTTCTTATGAGTTCCATTCTTTGTTTAGCTCGACCCATCTACAAATCTAATAGACATCATGTATTGATAATCATATATATCATGAATTCTCGTATAAAAAAAAATTAAAAAAACAAAAATTTGAACAAACAAATGAGCAAATAAAAGTTGCAATTCATATTTTAAAAGATCCCCAATATAAGGATGAGGAAAAATATAGTTTGGTTCAAGCCAATACCACGTAATGCACCTACATCATTCTCATTGGTTAGGCCCCTGTTAGTAGGGTTGTGACCAGTGCCGGCCCTGAGTTTTTTAGGGCCCAAGATGAACATTAAAATGGGGGTCTTTTTATATAAAAATACAAAAAAATAAAATAAAAAAATAACTGTGGGGCAAAATGAAATTACTTAATTTTATTTAAATTGAATTAGTTTTTCTATTTTTTCTTTTCATATACAGAACAACCATGATTATAAAATTAATCTAAATTGAAGAGAAATTCAACTGAGATAGATTACAACTGAAGAAAATATTTGATTCAAGCAAAACAAAAGCATGACAAAATTTAATCAACAAAAAAATTAGATTAAAAAAATAGGCATTGAAATTAGATTTATGGCACAAATCAAAATTAAAAGCAATGCAATCAATAATTAAAAAAAGAAAATATTTGATTCAAGCAAAACAAAAGCATGACAAAATTTAATCAACAAAAAAATTAGATTAAAAGTTTTTTTCCCTCCTCTCTCTCTCTCGCTTTCTCTCGCTCTCTCTCTCTCTAATAATAAAACAATAAAAAAAAATATAAAATAAATTGTGGTTTAGAACTGAACTAGCCTTTGTAGATGCAAACATACATATATAATTTGTTACGTAATATAGACACTTCTAATTACTATTCTAATTGTGACATGTTATTTTATCTTTAAGTAAATTGTGAGTAATATTTTGTGTTTATAGTTTGAATAGTGACAAGATTTTTAAAATTCATTGTTTTAAATTGCACCGAATCACCTTTTATTTGTTCAATTTGGTTTGATTATAAAATTTTCATAATTTGATTTGGTTTATAAAATTCATAGCACTGTAAGTTTAATTCTTGATTTACTTCTAAATCGGGCAAATCAAATCATACTCATCCCTAAATAAAGTATTTCAAAAATGCATTAATAAAAGAGTAATGCTATATACCACAACTTTTACTATAAAAAAGATGTGAATCCCAATTATTAGATAGTATTGTTATATATATATATATTTACGTAGTATAATGAATGTGGCTAATTGATTTACCCGAAATGGTAGAGTGGAAATGAATTGAGAAATTGGTTATCTATATTGAATGACTTTGAAAAGAATGTGTTGGCTAAGAATGTTGCACATTTATCTGATACTCATATTTTAGTTAATTCTCATGTGTGGTTTAGCATATCTCTATTGGGCTTTGGCTCACACTACTTGGGAAATCATTTTCAGGTACATGTGACATGCCACCTCCAATGACATAGCTTGGGAGGCTTAGAGGCTAAAGGCTCTACTTTTGTGATTTCTTTTTTTGTGTTTATATGTCTTCTTTTAAGCCGAGGGCTTTAATTGTAAAGAGCTTCAGACTCTCTCTTTTATTTTAACCAAGTGATTACTTGGAAAGATGTAAGGTCTTAGGGCATTATTTTGTCATTCTAAACTAGAGTTACATGCTATGGTTTCAAGATGAATATTTATGAAAGTGTAATGCATGTGATATCTTTTGTAATATTAACTCTGATGAATGAGAATATAACATTTTTTATTGTGTCTCTAGACCTTATGAATGGTTGATTTGTATAATATTTTTGAGGGCGTCACGCCTTTTGTCTGGACTGTGTTGTGAAGTTAAGAAACTTGGGCTGAGCCTTAATTTAGAGCTACTAATATTAGATTGATTAAAAGTATTTTGGGGCCCTTAGATTTGGTTAAATTTTGGGGGCCCAAGGCGGTGGCCTTGCTTGCCTTGGGCTAGGGCCGGGCTAGTTGTGATAGAATATTACTGTCAATTCATCAAAATATCCACCAATTATAAAGTTGTTGAAGAAGTAACTAGACTTGCTCTTGAACCACCCAATAACTTTTCATGAATTAATTTGATTCAATACCATACTAAACATGATATCAAAATATTATAGAGTTATTTTTTAGAATAACAAAATAAAAACTAAAAAGTTAACAATAATAATAATTATTATTATTTTAAGAAGGAATCCCCTTATCCAACTATTGGTTAGAACCAAGACTTGAACGAAGTTCGCGTGGGACTACCCTTTCGCATAATGGATGAAATAGAGGCTTGAATTAAAAAAATAAATAAATAAAAAGCAAACCACTATTTTGAGCCATAAAATAATATTTCTCTTAAATTTAGATTGTTGAGCAAAGCTCCACTATTTTGTTTTCCATTGGATTTCTAATGACCGTAATAGGAAGAGAAGAAAATATTAAAAAAGAAGAATTTAGGGTCATAAATATATGCAGAAATTTACAATGTGTATTTTTTAAAATGATGCATATCGTAAAAAAAATTATGATTTTTTATGATAAACGTTATGATTGTTTATAATGTGTGTTATTTTGTATTTAAATTATAAAATTTTGTAAAAAAATCATGAAAGGTATACTATGTGCACCTTTTTGAAGGTGTATCTCCCTAAATATATATATATATATATATATAACTCCTTTATCTATTGTTAAAACTTGATTGACCAGAAAAACTACTAAAAGCTGGAAAGCTATGAAATTTATGACTAGGAAATAGAAGAAAAAAAAAAAAAATCAGAATGTAGAGTATCTTGCCAATGTTTTGAAAGCCAATAAGTACACACTCATGGTGGCAGACAGAAGTTTATAAACCACAATTGTGTAACATATATAATAAAGGCAAGATCAAGCAATGAAAAGCCATCAGGAGGTTCCTTTACTAAGAAATATAATTAAAAAAAAAAAAAGAAGAGAGAGAGAAGTTCAATAATGGAAAAGACGTACCTTAGCTTTAATGGTTTCTCTCTCTCTCTCTCTCTCTCTCTCTCTCTCTCCACAGCTTCTCAAACCCGGAATACAAAAGAATAGATATGGGGGGTTCTCTCTTTCACGACCTGTGTAGAGCAAAAGATTAACTTGCCTAATAATCAAAAAATATCTATGTATAAATATAAAATACATATTAACATTGGAAACTAAATCAAAAATACACTTGACCTGCCAATAATTACACAAATATGAATCTTTTAAAAACTTTCCATTTTCGCACATTAATATTTGAACCAAAATTAATGTATACACAAGACCTATATTAACAACTACGGGCATGTGTGCGGTGTGATTTTCTGTAAAATTATAAATGACAGATTGTTTAATAATCAATCGCGGTTTGAGCAGTTTCAATTTATTAATTGATTGAAAAATAATTTTAAACAATTGTCACACATTTACATATAATATATGATATTAATTTGTATAATATTTTTCATATATGCATAACGGAGCGGAACAGTTTTAAAGGTAGATTATAAATTTCAAACTGCAGAACAAACTAATCCACAGTTAGCGGGCGAATTGATATATATAGCGATCCCAGTTTTGACCCGACTCTTGTTGTATTCCGGACGCGGGTTTAATGCTTTCATAATGTTGTTTGCCTCTTTCTTCCCTTGTATCTCTTGAATTTGGCCTTTGGGTTGTTGTAGTTGCGTTTGGAATAGGTTGGTTGCTTGTTTTCCCAAACCTTGTTGTCTAGAATTTTGGTCCTCTGCTTGAGCAGGAGTTGCAAACCTTCAGTACGTCTGCAAAAGTACTAGAGGGGTGTTTTTCATGCTCGAGCGGCGTTTCCTACGCTCGAGCGGGTTAGCGCTCGAGCGTCCCTTCTTGAGCTCGAGCAATTGGTTTGTTGTTTGTTAAAGTTCTGGAGGTATGTATTCTGCGCTTGAGCTGGCCTCTTCTTGCGCTCGAGCGGAGTAAATCTTTGTGTCTGACACTCGTGCGTGAAACTCTCTGCTATAGTGGACTGCACGTATATCAGATCGTAAAAGCCACTTTTTACATCACTTTTTCCTATCTTTTCATCTAAAACCCTAAAGTTGAGTGCCTCTCTCTCTAAAACTCACCTTTTCTCTACATTTTGACCTAGATCTATTGATCTCTTCACCCTACTTTCTTTGATAAAAAGTTGGAGCATCTCAAGATCTACATTTTGACCCGATTAAAGTTGGATTTTGTCATTTTTGAAGTTCTATCCTTGCTTGGCTCATCTTCTCTATTTGAGGTAGGAGTTTTCTATACTTTGTTATGATGTTTAGCTTAGTTATTTGTGGATTGTGTAATGAACAGAAGTTTATAAACCACAATTGTGTAACATATATAATAAAGGCAAGATCAAGCAATGAAAAGCCATCAGGAGGTTCCTTTACTAAGAAATATAATAAAAAAAAAAAAAAGAAGAGAGAGAGAAGTTCAATAATGGAAAAGACGTACCTTAGCTTTAATGGTTTCTCTCTCTCTCTCTCTCTCTCTCTCTCTCTCTCCACAGCTTCTCAAACCCGGAATACAAAAGAATAGATATGGGGGGTTCTCTCTTTCACGACCTGTGTAGAGCAAAAGATTAACTTGCCTAATAATCAAAAAATATCTATGTATAAATATAAAATACATATTAACATTGGAAACTAAATCAAAAATACACTTGACCTGCCAATAATTACACAAATATGAATCTTTTAAAAACTTTCCATTTTCGCACATTAATATTTGAACCAAAATTAATGTATACACAAGACCTATATTAACAACTACGGGCATGTGTGCGGTGTGATTTTCTGTAAAATTATAAATGACAGATTGTTTAATAATCAATCGCGGTTTGAGCAGTTTCAATTTATTAATTGATTGAAAAATAATTTTAAACAATTGTCATACATTTACATATAATATATGATATTAATTTGTATAATATTTTTCATATATGCATAACGGAGCGGAACAGTTTTAAAGGTGGATTATAAATTTC